GCCACGACTAGGCCCGGCCGCCGCCGCGCGCCGCCGCCCGCGCGCTCGTGGACCCGGAAGTGCACGAGCCGGCTTCCGGGGCGCTCCCGCCCCGCCCATTGGAGGGAACCACTGAGACCAGGGAGGCGAAGAAAGGCCTGAAATGGAGGACAGCGCCGCTCCCCGCCGTCAGGGTCCTCGAGGCCTTGGAAACACTGTTTAATGCTGTACTACCGCCCAGAGAGACCAGTGTCCTGGAAGAACGTGCGGTATTTAAGCCCCCGCCAGTGGACTGCTCCAGCCGTCTTCCCCCGCCGAGGAGCTGGTACAGTCCGACCCTCTGCCCGCCGCTCAGGGCCAATGGGAACGGCCTTCCGGCACACTTGGGACCCCGCCCACAGCCTGGGCCCCGCCCACGTTGTGACCACGCCCTCCCCATACTTATGGCCACGCCCACACTGTAGCCACGCCCCTCCCCCAGCCCGCCGCGCGGGAGCGGCTCAAAGCCCACCCCCGGCCGCGGAGAACCCGGCGAGGAAGGCTTTGGGGGCTGCCGGGACGAGCAGCTCTCCGCCGTCCGTCTCCCCTCACCCATGTACGGGCCCCTCCGGGTGCTGGGCGCAGCGAGGACGAGACCCTAGCCCCGTGTCCCGTCGGTGCAGACACACAATGAACAGTGGACACTGAATCACTACACCGCGTGGCGTGCGAGAAGCTGCCTCTGCTATGATGAGAGGATAAAGCGGGGCAGGGTCCGGGCTTAGGAGACTGGGAGGACCGGCCAACGTTAGTTAGGTGTTGAGGATGGACCCGGCAAGGATGAGAGCGCGGAGAAGCCGCCCGACCACACACAGGAGGCCCGTGGCTGGGCCCAGGGAGGGAGTGGCCAGAGGGCACCGGCTACGCAGAGCCAGAGGCTCTGGGGACACCGGAGGGTCTTGAGCAGGATGACATGCGCTGGCTTACAGGATCCCCTGGGCATCAGAGTGGGAACAGACTAGAGAAGCCAGGGTGGACACTGGGGGGCCAGTCAGGAGGCCCCTTTGGTGACCCTGCTCAGGGACAACGGGGGCCCGGGCTCAGGTGGGGTCAGTGCAGGTGTGGGAAGTGATTGGCTCCTGGTAGATTTTGAGGACAGAACTGACGGGATTTGCTGAGGAGCCAGATGTGAGGAGTGAGATAAAAGGGAGGGGAAATCAGGAGAAGGGCGTCTGGAAGCCAGGGGAAGGAGGCAGGACGAGGGAA